GCCCTAACAGGATCGGCGACAATTTTCACTAAAGCTTTTATAGGACAAACTAAAGCACATGCCGGTAGACTTTGAGTGATTGAAAACGTCCAATGAGGATATATTAGGACAAACGAGAGGAATTTGATGTAGTATATAATTTTCAGTCAGTTGATTATTTTATTGGTATAGTGAAATAATAAAAATAATTGACAAAATGATTGATGACGATGATTTCTATTGACTATGCGATTTGTTTTTTTCGTAACCAACTTCAAAAAAGAGAACGTTCTTAATCCGTCAGAATTTTTTTGAAGTCGGTTTTTTATTTTCTAAAAATTTAATAATATTAAATAGCATATAAGTTATAATTTAATAAATAACACTATGTAGTTAATTATTATACACTGAACTGGGGAGGAGAATACGCGGCGTGGCCATCTATCTTCAGGACTTGCCTGCTCGTTTCCAACTATGAGGGAACCTAACACTGTCATTTTTGAATATTATCTTTAAACGTAATGGTTTTACACTCACCATACCATGATTTCCCCTGTATTGTAGTCATTTTATTCACATTAATAGGACATGGACGAACATCCCATAAAGAAATTGCAAGCTATACAATTTTTCCGTTAAGGGCCCACCAACCCGCCACCAACCGTGGGTGAACCCACGATGCCGCATCATCTGAGCTAAACGCTAAGCGCTTAATTCTGATTCTGCTTTAAATGAAAATACCTTAAACTTTTTTTATATATAAGAGCGGCTGAAAGATCATGCGGCTTACCTGATGGTAAGTGACTACGATCGCCCATGAACAACTGCAACACCAGGGGAGTTGCAAATGCGTTGCCTTTTGCGGGTGGGCAACCGCAGTTCTTTTACTCGTTATTAGTAAGTCGCTGCTGCCCTTCTCCTGCTTTGTTTTCCCCTGCCGTCTCTTACGACACCCATTGGGCAATATCGGGTGGAGGATATTCTGACACCGCCACTACATGGTTATTTGAATTTAAATTAAAAGCTTAAATACCAATTATCATAATGTTTTATTAAATTCATAAACTAATATTACTGATAAAAGAATGCAATTTTTATTTTTGTTTTATTTGTACTACTTCTTGCTGTTTAAATTATTTCACTCGGTAATATTTTCAGAGATATATATAATGAGTTTTCACGGAAATTAAGTTATGATATTGTCAAAAGTATTCCAAAGTCGGTGAAGAAATTTGTAAGGCCACGCCAATATTTTTAATAGAAGTAGAAAGTTAACTTTTTTATATTATACTTTATCTATCTTATACTTAAAACTGCTTTAAGTTAGAAAGTATTTCAGAAAGTGTTTAATTTATAGAAATCCGCGTCACTAAAATGTAAATTTAAAATCAAACAATAAAGAGTCACTTGAGGTGACTAAAGAGTCTCGAATGAATAATTTAAAAATAAAATTACTTTTATTCTTCTGCTGGTTATCGTTCTGAGCATTTTGCATAAGTTTAATGCCCGTTTTCTAAGGTCACGTACTCTTTGTTCTCTAAAGTTAATATATTATTGAAACTTATTTTATCTGTTTTTCCTTAAAAAAATTTAAAGCCTGAATAACCAAGTAGATGCTTTTTTTCATTTAATGATGGTAAGGGGCCCGGGTCGGGTCAAAATCAGTTATTGGGTTTTTCTGTCAACAAGTTCTCAGTAGCAGACTGGAGTCAGCAAGTTGGCTATGTTGCACCGCCTTGCCACGGAAAGGACTTAAAACCGTTGGTTCCGCGCCTAATCTCTCCCCGTTTGTGTCGAATTGCCGCCCCGTCGGACTACGAGAGTTAGCGAATAGAGAGTGCACCAGCGCTTGCTCATACACTCGGGCACTATAATCCTGTCTATCGCAAATGTTTACTCTTCGTTGAGGCCGTGATTGAAACTCGGTCTGGAGAAGATTATTTTTATATATAACTTTAAACTATTTCCCCTATATGCCATATAATCCCTTTGCATGTAGTGTTTTCCTTTAAGAGTTGGTGCAATTAGCGTAAATCAATTGTTATTAAATAATTAGATTAGGAGATTCTCAATACTAGAAACGAGGCATTCCATCTTAGTCCTTAGGTGTGAACGGATCTGCATTTTTAATCTAAATGGAATATACATGTAGATCTTTATGGGCTTCAGACTTAAATACCAGTGCTCGTTTGGTACCCTAATCATTTAAAAAAATACCTTTCTTTGTTACTAGCGTTAATAAACCAAATAAATATATAAATAAACAGTAAAGTCTGAATGTGCTTTGACACCCCAGTGGACTAGGATGAAATTCCTTACGCCCTGTATATTCTATATTACTATCTCTCTATACCTTTCTGACAGACTAGTCAAGCCACTGTTGCTTGGCGGCTAAAATAGGTAGGAATATGTTCATACCCAGGATAACTTCTAGGAAAAAAAGAAGTTCTACCATAAAAAATAAGGTTTTCAATTATATGCAAGTACAGTTGAAAAAAAGGAATCATGTCACACCTTCATAATATTCATTTATTAAGGCTTAGACTTAGGTTCAGTTAACGCTGATGTGTTTTAATATGTTTAGTTCGTACGCGTTTTTTGACATGCTATGATATGCGATGGCTATTGATACGATATAGTCAAAATGGGTGTCCATACTTATGATATAAATACTCGATAGGATATGCCTGATTACATATGACAAGATTGTCAAATGTGGACCCAGCCTTAACATTAAACTTTTATTACAATTGATAATTATATTTGAAGTTCATAACAGTTGAGTTGGTAGAGAATGCATTTATCGCATTAAATTCACCTTCTACAAAGATTCAGTATACAATCATCAATTATAAGCGCGCGCACACACACACACACACACACACACACACACACACACACACACACATTATATATATATATATATATATATATATATATATATATATATTTAACACCGTTGTATGATCTAGGGTTCAAGGCGTTAGAAATAATACACTCAACTGGTACTAAAGATTTTTTAGATGCACAATGTAATGATTGTATTACATTTAAAAATAATAATAATACTAGCATTTGGAATGAAAGGTTCTCTAAGAGCAGTCTCGTACCATTAAGCGAAGTGTAGGCGGCCTCCCATTAGATGGAGTGACAACCTTGTAAGATAATATGTAGGAAGTCGATGGAGGCAAGTGGCTTAATACCGTGCTTTGTGGCATTCCTTGGGGGACATGTTCAGCGCCATTATCATTGCCAGCTATTAGTGGTTATGAAGTCTTCCTAGCCTGTTACGAGGTCATATCTTACACCTCTCACGGTGGGTGATTAATTGGAGTTGAATATTCCTACGCCGCTACACATTATCAAATATATGTATATATAAATAGAAAATATACAGGGTCTCTCTATTACCAAGTTTAAATATTTTAATTAACAAAAACTATATAAAAATATTATAAATGAATAAATTGTTCGTAAATACCCCTGGGATTGAGGTTGTCGCTGTTTCTTAAATAAGTTTTGTAAGGTTACAACCTTATTGTATAATTTAGTTTGAAAAAAAAGGTCCTCTGTTCCTCTGTCCTAACCAGTGACAAAAGTAAGAAATAAATTTCGATACGAATTACATGTCATCTATATTGAATAAAAATATTCTATTCTTTTCTATAAAAGTTTTAAAGTTGACCGTTATTTCTGTTTCTGGGAATTTCTGGAATATTGTCAATTTTTTTTGAATATTTACAAAATATTTTTTCACAAACTTAAATTTCATCACAAAAATAAATATTATTTCTTCAGCTATTTTGTACTAAACGAATATAGCAGAATCAGCAAAGAAGCCTTATTCGATACGTCAATCTAAAATATCTTAAATTGAGAGGAATCAGTTACAGCAACCTATTTCTAATTTCATGAACGACACGACCCTTTCAATCTAGCATAAGCTTTCTTCGAATATCAACCTATAATTTACGCAAAATAATATATTATTTATTTAAAAAGGAATCTCCATGTTTTATTGCGTGGGCTTCGTAAGACGCGACTTTGGGAATTCATGGTGGTGTAATCATCCCGCTTAAGCAGACGTAATATAACACTGTAAACCTAAAACCTTTTTTCTCTTTTTTTTCTGTTCTGAATGCCTCGATTCCAGTAAAAAGGGTCTCCAGTTCTCTACACTCACCATACGAAATACAGTAGAAATACGCTGCTATTTTACGCTGATATTCTGTGAGAGCGCGGTCCAGCTCCGGTCGAGACGATCTATTCGTGCTACAAATGTAATACAGCTGCAGCGTAGCTCTACCACGTAAACTATTGAATCCACATGAATAATTTAAGAAAATACACTTTAAAAAACTTGTAATATAGCATGAAACTGCGAAATGGACTGGTCTCAAGTAAAATACTGGTATTCAGTCCATCCCATACTTCGAGGCAATTCGGGCAGCTGAATGCACACTCGCTCTTGATGTCCGAAATTTTAATAAAATAAAAATATACAAGCACCAACCTTTAATAGAATAGAGTGTGGATGTAGCATCTGCAGTATTTTTATAAATAAAAGAAATTCGAAGGGAACTAAACACACAATATGTACAAACATTTCTAATTATATTAAAATAAATAACTTACTTATTATGCCTTTTTTTGTTAGCTTCATTTGTTAATTTTCATACTTTTTTTTGGAATAACACTAGAAACGCTCGTTGTCTATGAAACACATTTGGTTATTTCAATCATAAACTAATTAAAAGGGACTAAGGGTGATACTAATACAGACTCTAGCGTTGCCTTTTTTAACAGGTTGATTGCCGCGAACTCCGCGCGGAGTCAGACGGCTATTTCAACACGATGCCGTTGACTCCGCGCGGGGATGGCGGGAGGGGTAATTTCCAAGAATCAGTTTACCGCCGGCATTCGTGCGAAGCGCTCGTTTTTGTAGCGGCCAGCGTGGTTACGATCTATACTTATACGAATTACGACTGGTTTCGTTGTAAACGTTTTTTACGCAAATCGAAATGGATTTTCCGACACCTCGTTCTCGTTTTGGGCGTAAACGTATTAAACGTCGGCTAGTGTTTATTTCATCTCCCAGTTCATCCGAAAATGAAAATAATACCGTTCCTTTCGAAACAAGGAATAAAATTCCTAAAAAACGACCTCGCCGAGTCCTTCGTGAGCATGAATATGAGGCGGCTCTACTAAGTAGTGACGGCGATTTTAGTGCTTCATCTTCTGACGATTTTTTCCCCGATTCATCTGGATCATCATCGGATTCTGAATATTCGCGGACTAGTGACTTGGGTGTTGAGACAACTAATCCGGAAGAACCTGAAAGTAACCCACAAGACTCACCTTGCCCAAATCAAGGATATCAAGAGGCTCTTTCTGTTCAGCAAGAAATTTCCGATCTTGACCTGCCTCAGCCTGTTGAACAAGAATTACTTTCTATATCACCCGATGTAGAATCACAGCCGCAACCAGTTCCCAGAAGAAAACAATTAGAGAAGTCTACAATTCCATGGTCAGAAACAAATGAGGGAATGACAAGTTTTGACTTTATTGGCAATCCAGGTCTAAAAATAAACATGCTTGCCAACAACAACCCGAAACCAATAGAATTTTTGAATATTTTTCTGGATGACGAATATTTGCAGTTTTTAGTAGAACAGACAAACAAACACGCTGCACACATATTTCAGAAACCTGGTGTAAGACAGAAGTCTAGAATAACTGAATGGAAAGATACGACTATTCCGGAAATGAGAACGTTTATAGGTCTTATTCTGCACATGGGAGTTATTCGACTCAATCGCATTTCAGACTATTGGAAGACTCATAGGCTCTTCAACATTTCATGTTATAGAAAATATATGTCTCGTAATCGCTTCTTGTTACTGTTTAGATGTTTACATTTTTCAAATACAGAGGAAGGTGGCTTGAATAAAGTGGAGGAAATTATCAAACGGTTCAATGAAAAAATGAAGGCCATAATAAGCGCTCAAAAATGTTTGTCTTTGGATGAAAGTATGGTTCTGTGGAGGGGCCGACTTTTTTTCAAACAATACATAAAAAATAAACGCCACAAATATGGCATGAAGTTATATTTGCTGACGGAGCCTGATGGTCTTGTTTTGAGAATGCATTTATTTGGTGGATCTAGCGATATCACAAGTGGAAAAGGACACACTGAAAAAATAGTTATGCATTTACTGAATGATTTTCTTGACAAAGGACATTCCGTGTTCATGGACAATTTCTATAATGGATATAATCTGGCTTTGAAATTACTGCAAAGAAAAACATACTGCTCGGGTACTTTACGAAAAAAACGCGAGTTTAACCCTACCATTGTAAGTACTAAGCTAAAGAAAGGAGAAAATAAGTCCGTGTATCATCGTGGAGTTCATATTGGTTGTTTCAGAGACAAAAGGTATATTCCATATATAAGTACGGAGTTTGATAATGAAATGGTGGTCGTAGAAAGCAAGAGGGGCAATAAAAAAATGAAACCCAAGGTACTAGCCGAATACAACAAATACATGTCAGGAATTGATAGACAAGATCAGATGTTATCTTACTACCCCTGTGAAAGAAAAACCCTTCGGTGGTACAAGAAATTGTTTGTACATATACTTCAAATGCAAGTTCTCAATGCGTATATAATCTACAATCGATATTCTGGAAAGAACTTGAATATGTATGATTTTCGCATGGCTTTATCCGAAGAATTGCTGCCACCTGTTTGTGTAGAAACTGTGCAAACTAGTCGCCGGAATGGCCACAAATTGACAAAAATTGATGCTACAACTACAGAAAATAAATCTGATGGACCTGGACTCGTTAGACTTACTACAAGAATAAAACGAAAGGTTTGCCGATACTGTTCAATTTCCAAAAAAATACGTAAACAAACAACTTTTCATTGCACGCTTTGTGATGGGCAGCCTGGATTTTGCAATCAAGAATGCTTTGATTCTTTTGAGGCACATAATGCTTAAAACTTTTCAATAATTTGTGTATCTCTTTCATGGCTCAGAAGATAAGAGTTATTTTACATATTACTTTTGCTTCGTTTTTATTTAAAACTAATTTTTGGGGTCTTGTGGTCTATGCTTATTGTTATGATGTTTTCATACTCATAAATAATGCAATGTTTTTAATATTTTATAAGGTAGTAAGTGCATACAAACCAAATTGAAGGTTCCTTTAAATACTGTGATTTTGATTCTAATTGTAATAAAAATAATATTTTGTACTAAAATTATGTTTTATTCACTCATACTTACATATTATGAATTCCACAGGCACCTATGAAATCGACTCCTCGCGGAGTTCTCCGGCACCACACCTAAAATAACCTGTAGCAGCGCCGGAGCACTCCGCGGGGAGTCAACTCCGCGCGGAGTCACACGGCTCTAAGTCGGAGAGTCCTGAAGAGCAGTGCCTACGACTCCGCGCGGGTATTGTACATTTATATGAAGAAAAAAAATAAAATACAGCCTACGATATAAAAAAACATGATAAAAATGAATGCACAATCCCAATTAATTAATAAAAAAAAACGGTTTCTGGGTGTCAATTTTTGAGTTGCCTCGCCTAATATCGGCAATCAACCTGTTAAACAATGCAGTAAGTTTACTATGCTGATACCTCTCAAGAACTCCTAAATAAACTGGATCGACTTCTCAATAAATACATACGCTTCATTTTCGGTTTCGTAAATACGGTCACATCTTCTCTTATCGTTCTCACATTAAATGGTTACCTCTCCGTCATCGCAGATATTTCAGAATACTGTGCACATTATTTTCAGTTTTACACGAAGCGTGGCGCTGCCAGCGACTTCACGATGCGCCTTGCGACGTCGCGATGCGTTTCGCGGCGGCGCGCTGCATGGTTCGAAACCTGTGTGAACTGACATTAATAAATTAACTGCATGGGAGACAAAAGACAGGGACTTTTGGAGTTGTAGATAAAGAAAATTATTTTATAAATCTTCTTTTTCATAATAAACAAATAATTAGAAGCTTCGTTACTAGGATACTTCATTCGGTAGCTGAAAGAATACCACGAACTAGCAAGAATGAAATTCTGCCTTTTTTAAGCCAAAGGCCTGTATTGTCTGAAACCTATCCTTCTTTTCATCAGCCCGTGAAAGTCCACTGCTGGTCTTGGTCTAACCTATTGTAGGGAGGCATTGCCTTAAGGCGCTACCTCCAGCGAACGACCTTGAGCGTTTGGTCTGTCGAAGCTCACTACAATATATCGCGTAAGAAATCGCCAAAAGACGCCACCTACTGCTACGAACGTAGTATTATTTTTTCAATGTCAATGAACTATTCAATGGAAATAGACACGGCGTACAATGATAAATGTATTTTAATTTTCTTTATTCGGTATATTAGTTGCATTGTATTAGAATTATGTATTCTAATATATTATCTAATTAATAAAAATGACTATTTTGATTATTTTTAACTATATACTATACTGCTAATATTGAATTAGCTTTTTTATAGTGTAAATTATAATATTTGTCGAAATATTAATTATGGATTCGAACTTTACATGCTAATGGTGCTTCATTTTTGTTATTTTCATTTACTTACATATTGAAAATATACTTGAATAGTAGGTATTACTATTTTATTTAGCTACTGAATTTTAGGATATGTTTTACCTTGACGTCAAATATAATTTTGATGAGCAATAGTTATTACCTACTAATCTTATATCTGGCTATTCCTTATTTAGGAACAATATTAGTAAATTGAGTTTGAGGGAGATTTTCTGTTTACTACATTTATTGTTTTAATATTTACCTACAGGGTAGGTAATTATTAAAATAATAAATATAGCATTAGTAACTAAATAGATATTTTTTTTAAATTTTTAAAATTAAAATTTTCGTATTTTTAAAAATTACTAAAAAAAAGGGTTTGAAATAATAGATTTTCTCACAAAAGAAGGGAACTTGAAAAAAAAAAAGGAAAAAAAAAGCGGGACCAAAGCCAAGACGCGAACCACGGAACTCCGATATCACGCCCGACCGACATACCACCTGAGCTATAACGACCGTTAGTGATTTGTCGAAATTTACCTTCTTATATTGTAGCAGTTTTTTTATTGCTTGAAAACATGGACAAAAGGACATTTTCTAAAAATAAATCCAAGCGTTCGTCGCTAAAATCGTTGGAGCCGTATAATTTTCTCATCTGGTTCGGTTATATAAATATTTAAATATATAAAAATTATAAATTAAAATGAAAAGATAAATATACATAAATATTAATAAAATAAAATAAATACAAAGTAATTTATTATTATTATAAGTTGTGGTTCGGTGAAGCTGCAACGTAATGGACCATGATCTGAAATTTTTATGAAAAGAAGTTGCTGACGTCAATTATTATTATTCTTATTATTTTTTCATTACTGCCTTTTTCAACCTCACAAGATATTTGTAACTGCAAAAAAGAAAACTACGTATAAGTAAGTAAATCAGTATTATAGTGTTATGTATGATTCAGACTAAATAAAGGTTCCTTAAAATAGACGTAGATAAAGAAATTGCATAAAAAATTACTCAAATAAAAATGCAATAAACTTGTTAATTTTATAGGTACTTAGTAAAATATTAAAATAATAAGTTTTTAGGATATTTATGTAAAACATAAAGGTTATATTATGTTTTAACTACGTTCACGCTTGCGCATATAAAACCGCGGAATTTCACTAGTTTTATTATTAAAATAATAATTGACAACCCTACCCTAAGTTTGCCTTGATTTTACCAACTCAAACTCGTTTTAGGAGATCAAAACATAGAGAGAAAAATAGGAGACTATTTTTTATTTAATATGGTTGTATCTTTATTTATTTGTAAGTATATTTTTTATATTTATTTTATTTTATTGATATTTATATATATTTATATTTTCATTTTAATTTATATTTATAAAAACCAACCAGATGAGAAAACTATACAGATACCCCAACAATAATAATATAATAATAATAATATTCCACAACTATCACACAACGCCATCTAGTCCCAAGCTAAGCAGAGCTTGAGTTATGGGTACTAAACAACTGATAAACATACTTATATATTTCTAAATACATAAATATTATAGATAAATTACACCCAGACACGACCTGCGGCATAGCAGTCAGGGTCACTAACAACTAGACCAACAGGCCTGACGATAAATAAAATAATGTCTCTAGCTCGAGAGGAGAGGAGCCGTGGTAGCTCAGATGGTTAGCGCTTGCCAAAATTTTCACAGTGTGCGAGCAAACCGGGTTCGATCCCCGCCGGCACAAATAATATTGTAATTGCAATTTTAAGTGTTGATTTACCCCGTGCTCAGTGGTGAAGGAAAACATTGTGAGGAAACCTGCATGTCTGAGAAATGAGAAAAAAAAATATTTCGAAGACATGCAAAGTTCGCCAACACGCAGTGATAATTCCTTTCCTAGGACCCTTTCAGAAAGTAAAATAGAAATAAAAAAAATAATAAATCCAAACTTCATTTAAAACCAAACATATAAATTGTAAAGTAGCTGCAGGTATCTATAACTTGTCCATGTTTCCAAAAACAATTTTTAATTTATATTATAATGCGGATTTTTTATATTTAAAATTTTAATAATAAAGCATTTCGTACGTCTCAGCCGAGGCGCAAATATTTTTCGGCCGCAAATTTATAAGACCGATTTGTTATTGAAACATAAACATGGTTTTTTAATTAAATCTACCAATCATAAAACGACACGCATTTTTATTGAACACTTCCTATTCAATTCACAAAGTACCTATTATATATTTGTTTATATAAAAAAGTATATTTAAGTACAATGATAAAACTAAATGGAAACACAAAGTAGGAAAATGCATTGAGTGTTTTATAACACATAAATCAATGGGCAAATGTAAAAATTCTGGAGGCAGGCATCCCTATCGCATGTTTACGTACCGCACGGCTGTAAGATTTATTTCTAAGATACGGCCGAGTTACAATATACCGTGACGTAAGCGCATCGGTTGGTAGGTACTCAAATAATATTATGTTTGCGGCGAAATACGGACGCGGCGACCAGCGACGCGGCTACCTCGTATGAACGCATACAGCGTAATGCCGCCCGCACTCTGCGCACGCCCCTTTATCATAGAAGTCACACAATTTTCGGAATTATTTCAATTAAAAGAGAAAAAACGAACTTAAAAATTTAAATAAAACGTGGAGAATATAGATTTTTTAATTATCTATCCATTAGTGTTATTCTCAAATGATTAGAGCGCTGCGTTTAGCAACAGATGCATGTAATCAAGAATTTTAGTCATTTTTTAAAAGTTGATTTTAAATGTATTTATAGCACATAAAAATAAATTAGAACGTGGAATGCGATGATAAGATATCGAACATTAATAATGTACTTTTAGATGTAGTTTATTTTTCATAACTAATGAGATAATAGAGTCTGAAAAACGCACTTTCGCAACATTTTGGTCAGGGATTCACCTTAATCGTAATGCTTGATGGATCTACGTGGTAGAGTCATGATGCAACCATATTAGAAGTGTAGTTGTAGCACAAATAGGTCGGCTCCGCCGTGATAGGACCACGCTCTCACAGAATATTGGCGTAAAATAGCAACTTCATGCTACTGTGGTTCGTATGGTAAGTGTTGATAATCGGAGACCCTTTTTACTGGAAAAGAGGCATTCCATCTTAGTCCTCACGGATGACAACGCATCTGTATTTTGATTCGTAATCTAGGATTGATGTAGATGTCTATGGGTCACAGCAATTTTTGCAACAGAATAAAATATATCAGACATTAATAATTACTTTATATAATACATATTTTGTATTTCGAACATAAATTACTTACACGTTCAAAACAATAGCCATTTTCATTTCATTTATTAAAGTTATTGCTTATTGCTCACAAACAATTTGACTTGCAAGCGACATTGATTGAAATACTCATT